TAATGTACTTGACGACGAGTTCAAAGTCTTGCAAAACATCTTGAAGAATCTTCGACCCGAACTATTCCATATAATTAAAAGTAGTGATTGTTGTTGTTTGAACAAATAGTAGCGTATCTTTAAATAGAAGGGACAGTCACAATATAAAAGCTATCCTAAACACCACGCTGAAATGTAATGTACGTGAAGTTTAAACAAATTCTATTTCCTCTGACACGTGCCGAAGGTGAAAAAAATTTTGAAGGATGAGGAGAAGGCACGGTTCTTGATTACTTGTCAAGACAGGATATCATGCCTATAATACAAAGACATGCCATCATGTGCACTACGGCCCAAACACATTTTTGTTGATCTTGCGCAGGCGAAGAAGTGAGGATGCAAGCAACTTGGGCCAGCGTTCTCAGGTTACACATAATATACAGGGTCGTTGTTTCGGTTTGGTTTTACGTTCTTTTCTTACATAAAACCCTACACACCTAAATCTTAAATATTTAAACCTCAAACCCTTAACTTTAAACCCTAAACCTTAAACTCTAAACCTTAAACCCTAAACCCTAAACCCTGAACCCTAAACTCAAAACCAATCAAAGTAGTTGGACGCCTATCTTGATATCCGGAAGCCCAGGCTCTTGAGCCGGTGCGTGACAGTTCCGTGTTTAGAGTTTAAGGTTTAGAGTTTAAGGTTGAGGGTTTACGGTTTAGGGTTCGGGGTTTAAAGTTCAGAGTCAATTTTATACTTAGAACCATTCAGCTCTGAACCCTAAATCCTAAACCCTAAACCCTAAACTCTAAACTCTAAACCTTAAACCCTAAACCTTAAACTCTTAACTCTGCCGGCTCAGGACATTGGTTGAAGGATGCTGCCACGTGGCAAGTCTGATTCGCGTTTGAACTGATGCCCTGGTGTAGTTCAGGCCGGGCTCGCACCCATAAGTAGGGACACGTGCTCCTGCTACCTAGTGGCATTTGACCAGGATTCAAGCGCCGGGTCCGAGTGGTCCTGGCATTCATCGCTAGTCTAGGATGCCCAGTAGCGCCCTTATTCACTTTTCTTGGGGAGTTCGGTTCCCTTGTAAACCCCTTAAAGCAAAAAAGGGCACCCTTTTGAATTCTGGGTTAGTAACGTCTGGGTGAAAGCCATTGCGAGCCTAAGCACAGGTGTAGAGCTGTTGCCCTGGCACAGCTGCCATGAGCTGCAGCGACCGGCGCGAAGCATCCAACCCCAGGGCCCTCTTTCAACGGGGAGCCGCATAATTGTTAGCATTGTCCGCGGAACCCTGAACCCTCAACCCTAAACCCTATACCCTATACCCTATACCCTATACCCTATACCCTATACCCTATAAACCCTGAACCTTGAATCCTAAATCAACAGAGGTGTCTTCCTTGAACACCTTTGTGACATGCAGCTTTTGTGCCGAGTCTGTTCCGCCAGGGTATCGTTACCGTTACAGCCTATCCCAGAGACTCCAATACCCCTTAATTAAGGAATCTTCCTTAAATCATTTTTGGGTTCCTTATATGTTTTAAGGAAAATTCCTTAATTAAGGGTATTGGAGTCTCAGCCTACGCACAGCCATTGTAGGAAGCGACGAGCGCTGCTCGGCTAGACCAGGTACAGACGAGTAAAGCCCCTCAAGGAATTACTTCGCAGACCCGGTCATCAAAGCCCTAAACCCTAAACCCTAACCCTAAACCCTAAACCCTAAACCCTAAACCCTAAACCCTAAACCCTAAACCCTAAATCGGAAACGCGCCCCTCATATTAGTGGACTTAATGCGGGGAAGTCCGGCTTTTGGGAGTAGCCGCCAGCCTCGTCCTTCCTTCGTGCCACAACTGCTTTATCCTGCTCTGCCCCCATTCAAGTCCTTGTGGGGGTTTCTTCCTATAAGGGGTCCTATTTTGGGCCTTCAAAGTAGAGAACTCTAAATCCCAAACCCCTAAACCCTATTCCTAAACCCTTTGCCCACATGGCATGTCATGGCCAGGGGAAGCCTTGGTGAGGGCTGAAGTTAAGATCGAGCAGTCTGCGAAGGAAAAGCGCTAGTAGGCGACCGTCTTCAGAACCGCCGGATGGCTGAGGGTTTAGGGTTTAAGGTTTAGGGTTTAGGGTTTAGGGTTGGGCTTTCGGGCTATATGGGCAGCCTTGTTGAGAAGCATCGTTCAGTGAAGACGGTTGCAAACTCGCTCGTTCCCCTGCCGCGCAGAGCTTGCGCTTTGCGCACCGAGCCCGGCCACTCGTTGAAGGATGCCGCCACGTGGCAAGCCCGGCGACTCCAAAACCCCTTAATTAAGGAATATACTTTAACTTAGAATCGAAACCCTATAATATGATTTGAGGTATATTCCTTAATTAAGGGATTTTGGAGTCTCTGGGACTCCGATTCGCGTTTGAAGTGTTTCCCTGGTGTAGTTCCGGCCGGGCTCTCGCAGCCATAAGTAGGGACACTTGCTCCTGCTACCTAGTGGCATTTGACCAGGATCCCAGCACCGGGCCCGAGTGGAACCCGAAACCTTACACCCTGAATCTTAAACATTAAACCCTAAACTATAAATCTAAGCCATATAATTTTATTTAAATTCTTAAAGCTCAAAAGAGTGCCCGTGTCGTTTTTTTTTTAAGTGACAACTGGGTTATAGAAAGATGGCTATTAAGCTGAGCGGTTAGAGCGGCATGAGAAGCCCGGCCTGGCTGCTTCAATCCGTGGGAACGTTGCAGTCTAGCTCAGAGTTTAGGGGCCTGGAGTTCAGAGTCTAGGGTTTAGTTAAACCCTAAACCCTAAATTCCAAACTCTAAACTCTAAACCTTGAACCCTAAACCTTAATCTCTAACTAAACCCTAAACATTAAAACCTAAAGCCTAAACCCTAAGCCCTAAATCCTAAGCTTCAAACCCTACACCTGGGTCTGTCAGAACCAAAACCTTTACTCAAAATCAACGGCAGTCTGTTTAGAATTTCGAGGTTTTGTTTCGAGCAAACAGCAATAGTAATGTCATCAGCCGGATAATGTAGAGTTTAGGATTAGAAAAGACAGTAATTAACTTAGGAATGAATACTGCTATAATACAGAGAAAACACTATTTAGTTTAGGATATAAGAAAGGGATCAGAGCCTGAGCTAGACCAGCGACACTGGAGGGGTGAAGTTCTGGAGGTGAGCCTTTTTTTTTCAATGTGAAAAGATAAGAGGTTAAGCGTGCGAGGTTCCACAACCTCTTGGGTTTGCACACCTATCCTTAACCCCCAGGAGAGTGCCTGAACTCTTACTGAAGTTTGCTTCATTCACGAGCCCCCTGCTTATAACCTTCCCCGCGGATTGAATCCCTAAGCTTCGTAAGCTCTGAGAGTCTTCTAGTTTTGGATATAATACAACCACACCATCAAAGAAGCATTCTATTAATTCATGATTCTCTACACATCATACTTCTAGAATTGATTGCGTAGTATTATTTTCTTGAAGAGATATTAATATTAAATGATATTTATATCTTTTTTTTAATGGCTTTGTAAAAGCTAAGCCAAAAGAACCCGAAAGGTCTCAGGCTCACATATGTATATATATATATATATGTATATATATATATATATATATTCTGTATAGATGTATAGACGTGTATATACATACATACATAAATGCATAAATACATGAAACTATATATATAGAGAGAATTATAACAAGATAACTAGATAGAACAAATAAACCAATATATATATATATATATATCTATATACATGTGTGTGTGTATGTTGTATGTATGTATGCATGTATGTATGCATGCATGTATGCATGTATGCATGTATGCATGTATGCATGTATGCATGTATGCATGTACGCATGTATGCATGTATGCATGTATGCATATGCATGTATGCATGTATGATTGTACGCATGTATGCATGTACGCATGTATGCATGTATGCATGTATGCATGTATGCATGTATGATTGTTTGCATGTATGCGTGTGTGCATGTATGCATGTAGGCATGTATGCATGTATGCATGTATGCATGTGTGCATGTGTGCATGTATGCATGTAGGCATGTAGGCATGTATGCATGTATGCATGTATGCATGTGTGCATGTGTGCATGTGTGCATGTGTGCATGCGTGCATGTATGCATGTGTGCATGTATGCATGTACGCATGTATGCATGTATGCATGTGTGCATGTGTGCATGTGTGCATGTATGCATGGATGCATGTGTGCATATGTGTGCATGTGTGCATGTATGCATGTATGCATGTATGCATGCAGGTATGCATGCATAGATTTTCGTGCTTCAGGGCTATGGAGTTGAGGGCCCTTAAGAGGGCTCCGAGCCAACCACAAGCCCTGAGCTGTAGGGTTTAGGGATTAGGATTCAGGGTTTAGGGTACAGCTCCAGGGCTTTATGGCTTAGGGCTTAAGGGGATTTAGGGTTTAGGGTCTACGATGGTAATCATAGCAAGAAAAATAACAAGAAGCAAGAATGATGGTGTTAATAAGTTCACTAACATAATAGTACGCATCTAAGCCCATTCTTCTTGAAAGGAATATGAGTGGAGGCTCTCAGAGAGCTCCGTGGGGATGTCTTAGGAGTTCTTGGGAATAGGCCACCCCCTCCCCCTAAAGTGTGGAGTCCTTTTGTTGTGTTGATGAGTTAGGATTCAGGGTTTAGGGTTTAGGGTTTAGGGTTTAGGGTTTAGGGTTTAGGGTTTAGGGTTTCAGGTTTAAGGGCTTTGGAGTTCGGGCTTTGCAAGAGTAATTAAGCACTACAGAAGGACGCATGAATTGCCCCATGCACCGAAAGTCGCATCCCTACACCCGAGACGCCTAAACCCCAACCCCCAAACTCCAAACCCTAAACCCTAAACCCCACAATGTTACAGAAGGGCGCTTTATGCCCTAAACTCTAAACCCTAAACCCTAAACCCTAAACCCTAAACCCTAAACCCTAAACCCTAAACCCTAAACCCTAAACCCTAAACCCTAAACCCTAAGCCCCATTCCCCAAAGGTCGGATGCCTGGCAGATTCCCTGGCTGCTCCTCTACGGCTTCAACGCGTCCCTCTCGGCCCCGTGGACTTTGAGTTTGGGTGGGTTCAGGGTATAGGGTATAGGGTTTAGGGTTTAGGGTTTAGGGGTTCAGGGGGTTGCCATGGCTATTTGATCGTGTCAAGTCTCCAGAGTTTAAAAAGGTGTGTGTGTGTGTGTGTAAGGGCTTGATTAGAGTTCATAAGCCGGAAGCCCTAAAGGGCTTAGCCACGTAAGGCTGTCAAATCCAACAACCCCAAGCCCCAAAACCACTGGAGCTTGAGCCTAGAACCCGAAACCTAGGTCTAAGCCCCCAAACCCAAAACCCAAAACCCTCAAACCAAACCCCCAAAACCCCTGAAGCCCGCAAAACCCGAAACCCCCAAACCTTAAAGTCCAAAACCGCTGGCTCCCCGAAGCAGATGGAGGTCATCGACATCGCGATCGTCATTTTCGTGCCCATCGAGAGCGAAGAGAACTCCTACCAGCGTGTGCTGCAGGTGCCGCCTTAAGGCCAAAAGCCTAAACTTTAAGCCCTACAGGCCCTGAAGGCCCCAACAGGCCCTAAAGGCTCTAAAGGCCCTAAACCCCGAAGGCCCAAAAGGCCCTAAAAAAGTCTAGAGACCCTAAAGAGCCCTCGAAAGCCCTAGGGCCGAAGAACTCCCTAAACAAGCCTTTAAAAACCTCAGAACGCTCACCTTCCTAAAACCCTAGGTGTCCTAAAGCCCTAAGCATTCGGCTCCTCGAGCTCAGCGACCTTTCGGGCTGCTTCAAGGATCTTTCATGTCGGATATTTCGAAGGGTTCCGTAGCTAAAGAAATCTCTGCCCCTAGGTCTGTTTCAACGGCGTGAGCCTTATGCGCTCCTTGCGTGGCCCTAGAACCCAATAGTCTGCTTCGGATTTTTGGATGGACAGGGCTACTGGCCTACATTCGCACCCTTAAGCCCTAAGCATGCGTGGAAGCCCTTGTGACTGAGTGAAAGGACTCAGTGTCTGCCGATAAACCTCGTTGCCATTGCCGCTACCCAACTTCCGAGCCCTACTTACTAAGTCAGAAGGGCTTCCAAGTATGCCCGAAACCCTAACCCTAAACCCTAAACCCTAACCCTAAACCCTAAACCCTAAATCCTAAACCCTAAACCCTGAAACCTAAACCCCTAAAACCCCTAAAGCGCTAAACGAAGAGGCGCTCCTGAACTTTATGCTCTCCCACGGCGTCCTCTTTCTGGGCTCCGTCCTCCACCACGTGCCGACGAAGAGGCGGCTTCTTAGGGAGAGTGGCTTTCGGGGAGAGGGAAGGGTTTAGGGTAGGGCTAGGGTTTAGGATTTAGGGTTTAGGGTTTAGGGTTTAAGGTTTAGGGATCTTGGGGCTCTGGGATCCAATGAAGTGCTCACAAAGATGACACCATACCGTCCCAAACTCCGGGGGGTGCAGCAAGGTGAGAGGTCTGCCCCTGTCGTGTCCATCACTTTTGATCATACAAAGAAATACATGGGCATTTTCCAAAATTTGGGGTACCTCTTTTAGACCCCTAGATACTACAGAATCCCCTTAAGGGACCCCCCAAGACAGGGCACCCGCGGAACCCCAGCCCCCCCCATATGAATAGCCGTTTGTGTAATGTATGTCAGAGCAGACATGCTGTAGAAGGTGTTGCACGTATGGCACTTGGTCCGTTTCAGTTGGTACATATGCATATATGCATGTATTTACATGTATACACATGGTAGTGTACATGCAAAAGTAGGCATCATCAACGATGCCGTTCTGCAAGTGACCATGAACAGATATCAGTATAGTGTAAAGTAAGCATATTTCATTGTCCACATATTTATATGTACATCTATTTACACGCCCATCCATAAGCTGGCGGTTCGAAGCTTTTGGAGTCTGAGGGTGGAGGACCAGCGGTGTGTAGGTTCAGGGTGCCACCCTGATCCCTAGACCCCGAACCCTGAACCCAAACTCCAACCCCTAAAACCTAAACCCTAATTCCTAAACCCTAGACCCTAAACCCTAAACCCTAAACCCTAAACCCTAATCCCTAAACCCTAAACCCTAAACCCTAAGCTTCCCTAATCCCTGAACCCGAAACCCTAAACCCTAAACCCTTCTAACCCCAAGCTCTTTTGGGTTCTTTGCTTGTTTACAGGCCCTTCAGTTGGCTGGTGATTTACATGCGCTTCGTGCTCTCGCTCTACACGCTCCATTCCGCGCACCTCGCCTGGATTTCCCACATCCCCGAAGCCCCCACAACGCTAGGGTTTAGGGTGTTAGGGTTTAGGGTTTAGGGTTTAGGGTTTAGGGTCTAGGGTCCAGGGTTTAGGGTTTAGGACGTATATTATCCTACACTCCAAGCTCTAGACCCCGAACCCTGGGTCGGGTACAACTTTTAGGATCTTTCTGTAGCCCCGTGGTGCCCTTTGGCCCTTTTTGGACGTTGGGACTTCTGTTTTGCTCCTAGTGCAAGGCAACTGTCAGTTTGCCCATCAACCTTGACAGTTTCAGGCCGGTGCTACCTAGAGAGGCTGACTAGACTCTGGTTACTGGGCTACCAAGGAAGGGATTCTGGTATCTCCTAGCCCTGATCAGCAGAGCTTCTTCCATCCGAGTTTAGTTTAGGGCCGTTTAGGGTTTAGGGTTTGGGTTTGGGGCCATGTTGTCGAGCTTAGGCCATGGCACTAAGCACATTTCGCGCTTTCGGAATGCAGGGTGTTGGGGTTCAAGGGTCCCTAAACCCTCACCCCTAAACCCTAAACCCGAAACCCTAAACCTTAAACCCTAAACCCTAAACCCTAAACCCTAAATCCCGCCCCGAAATCTGTGAAAGGTGGTCCGTGTGGAAGGAGGTGAGAGAGCTGAGAAACGTCTAGAATAGAGCAAAGCTCCCGGGGGAGAGGCCCGGTAACTGGGCCTCTTCCATGAGGGCTCCGGTGAGCCTTCAGACGGTTTTCTGAAGCTTGGTGTGGCTGCTGAGTTGTGTTGTAGGGCTTGGGGAAGTTTATGGGCTTAAGGATGCCAAGGTTTAGGAGCTTCTGCCATCGGATCCCCATGTCAATTCTGCGAGCGCACCTCGGAAAAGACTCGCTGCTAGATCTTGAGCTACAACGCCTGATATGGGGGCCGAATGATTTCTACTAGTATTCCCTTCTGGCCCCTTTACAACCCCCCAAGAGCCTGTTCTAATTCTTAAGGCCTGGGCTCTCGCCGTAGGGTTGGGATCGTGAAGCTGCCTTTATCATACGGAGCTTTATGCCCAGGGTAGCCAAGAAGGGCCCATCATTCAGAGAACCGCCATGTAGTGGAGGAAGTCAATTTTGTTCTTGACTCTATCCTGAATCTTCAATCTTGTGAGGATGAGAGCTCTTTTGCGAGACTTGGTTGTCGTTGTTTGCATTGCAGTTAGTGTTGCCAGCATTCGTAGCAATACATGGGGTACTGCTCGCGCTCGGTGGCTTAGGGGTTGTCTAGGAGCCTTAGCTACGTGTAGCTGCGGCAAGTTGGCCTTCGGCAGCCACTGCAAATTCATAAGCGCTGGCATCGTCTTGTGGGGAGTTTTGCAGGGCGTTGGTGCCCACGACCTTTGGGTTGAGTTGAGATGATTCTTTAGCGGACGATCGACATATTCATTCTGTTTCATTGTTGTGTAGTTACATCTGAAGGAAGTTTAACAATTTTGTTGTTCGACTGCCTCGGCATCCGCGCCTCCCTGGAACGTGGCAGGTTCAAAGTGAGCACATTCATTCCTGCATGTCAACTGCTCCTCCATAGTCTCTGCCATCCCTGTCCCCAAAACATCAGCTCACACCCACTGCACGAAACGCAGGCTCAGGGTTCAGCGCAAGACACTTCTTGAAGGCCTTCCTGCCTCCAGTAGCTCGGCCACGCGTCGAGCCATAGCTCCAGCATCCTCTCCACGTGCATCCGCAGTACCCAAGATGAGCGCAGGACAGGGCGGATACCGGATTGTCAGGGTGTACCCTGTAGGCTCTACCTGAGAAGCTGGTGACTCCAAGCTTCTACATTCGAAAGGCCGCCAGTTCATTCGGGCTTCGGGTTGAGGGTTTAGAGTAAGGACAGGCCCAGAGGCCGCGAGAACACTCGTTCCCCGAATCGCTCCTAAGGTGTGCTCATATATATTTATGCAGAAAATGTATATATATATATATATATGTATATTCATATCTATACAGAAAATACTTAAATACATGTATATACATATACATATACGTAGACATAGACATAGACATAGACATAGACATAGACATAGACATAGACATAGACATAGACATATGCAGATACATATACAGATACATATACAGATGCAGGTACAGATACAGACATACATGTTTACATGTGTACATACCTACGTACATATGTGAACATCGCACTTTGAATTTATGCTTTACCTGTAAGGTCCTACGATTTTCTTTCGGAGGCCCCTAGCCAGACCCCACCCCCCCCCCTCCCCCGTGTAGTTCTGATCACAGATCTGCTGTGCCCTCGCGCACCTGTTTTTAGCCCTAAACCCGAAACCCTAAACCCAAAACCCTAAAGTTCCACAGCTTTCATTCCCCTCCTGCGGCTGTGCGCAGCTCTTCAGCTGGTATGGTATTTCCAACAACGCATCGCCAAACACTTCGATGAAATATTCTCTCATTTTTTTCACCTTCCAGATAGCAGTTTTACTACAAAAATCCCACACCATTAAGTTCGCCGCCAGCAACCCCAAACCGCAGGACCCTCCGCTTCACCTTCGATGGCATCGTAGGGCCCACAGATCGTAGGAACTGATGGGGAGTCGAGCTAAGAGAAAACCCCAAGGCCCTGAGCCCTAAGCCCTAAGCGAAAGAGCCTAAACCCGAAACCCTAAATCCCTAAAACCCTAAACCCTAAACCCTAAACCCCTAAACGCTAAACCCTAAACCCGTGAAGCTTGAAAGCCCTGCGACCCAGAAACTTGGACCCTCCCCTCCCTTCCGACATGGACGCGAAACTTCAAAACCCCAAGAGTCAACCCCCGAAACCCTAAACCCTGCAAACCCTAAACCCTGCACCCTGCAAACCCTAAACCCTAAACCCTACAACCCTGAACCCTAAACCCCAAACCCTAAACCCTACAAACCGTAAACCCCTGAGACCCTCAAGCCCCATTCAACAGCTGCGAGCAACCCTAAACCCTAAACCCCAAACCCCAAACCCCAAACCCCAAACCCTAAACCCCAAACCCAAACCCTAAACCCCAAAACCCTAAACCCCAAACCCTAAACCCCAAACCCTAAACCCCAAACCCTAAACCCCGAACCCTAAACCCCAAACAGCTGCAAGCCCACCAGCTTGTACCAAGGCCTCGGTCCCGTGGGGCGGTGCAACTGGAGGTCCGCCCCACCCAGCGATTTGCCCCTGGTTCTTCCTAGGGAATGAAGGAACTAGGGCCCTACAGTTACCCTCTTTCAGGGGTTTTATAGGGCCCCCTATATTCCCTTTAAGGGATTCTATAGGGCCCAATATATACCTTTTAAGGGGTTCTATAGGGCCCAAGATGTATACCCTTTAAGGGATTCTATCGGGCCCTACATGTACCTTTAAAGGGATTCTATAGGGCCTATTAAGGGATTCTATAGGGCCCTATATATACCCTTTAAGGGATTCTATAGGGCCCTGTATATACCCTTTAAGGGCTGATATATACCCCCTAAGGGATTAGATAGGGCCCTGTATATACCGTTTCAGGGATTCTGTAGGGTACCTCGTTCCCTCGTTCCCTACGAAGAACCAGCCAGATTTCCCGGAAGCTCAGAGGGTTTCGGGGTTTAGGGTTTAGGGTTCTTAGGGTTTAGGGTTTAGGGTTTAGGGTTTAGGGTTTAGGGTTTTTGGGCTTTAGGGGTGTATTAATGTTTAAGGTGGTTTTACGGGCTTGGGTTTACGGAGTTCGGAGTTTTTGGGCTCTAGGGGCATTAGGGCGTGGGGGTTCAAATCGGGGGCATTAGGGCGTGGGGGTTCAAATCGGCTTAAGGGGTTTGGGGGTATTTGGTGTTTTTTTCCCCACCTTCGGTGTGGGGTTGTTAGATTTTAAACTCAACTCTTCTCCTCGCCCGGAACTTTCCTCCTCGCCCGGTCTACTCTGAGAGACTCCCAGGATCTTTCCAGGGCCCTAAACGCTAAACCCTCGTCAAACCTCCCGCCCCCCCCCCCCCTCCCCCCCTCCCCCACCCCTCACCTTCGCCTCCCAAACCTCCCAAAACATGTCCTAAACCCCCGAATCAATAAACCCGAAGACCACCCCCAAAAAAGAAAACAAACCTTTAACCCTTGAAAACCACCCTAAGCACCCGAAGCAGTAGTTTTTCTCAGAGCAAAACCGACAGCAAAACCTAGAAGTCCGAGACCCTATGAAGCCATAAACCCTGCACTGCCCTAGAATACCCTCTAAACCCTCTAAACCCTCTCAACCCTCTGCCAAAAGCCCTTATGAACGAATTGAGGGGTCCCTGAAACCCTAAACCCGAAACCCTAAACCCTAAACCCCAAACCCGAAACCCTACAAACCCTCAACCCTACGAACCCTAACCCCTACAAACCCTAAACCCTAAACCCTAAACCCTAAATCCTAAACCCTAAACCCTAAACCCTAAACCCTAAACCCTAGAACGCCGAGGAGGGCCTGGCTTTTCACTTCATGGCGGGCATGGCCAAGGCTCCTCAAGCCAAAAAAACGCCTTCCCTTAAACCCGCAACCCGGGTTCAGGGTTCAGGGTTTAGGGTTTAGGGTTTCAGGGTTCAGGGTTCAGGGTTAGGGTTTAGGGTTTAGGTTTTTAGGGGGGGGTTGGGGTTTCGAGTTGGTTGAGGGTTTAGGGGTAAGGGCAAGGTGGTGGGACCCTGAACGCCTCTATGCAACCCTGAGCCCCAACCTCCCCGCCCTCCCGAATACCCCAAACTCAAGTTTCGGGGCCCTGAACCCAAACTCCGGGTTTAGGGTGTCGGGTTTAGGGTTTGGGGTTTGGGGTTTAGGGTTGAGCTTTAGGGTCTGGGGTTTAGGGCTTTTAAAGTGTCAGGGTTTGAGGGTTTTGGGGTGAAACTCGACCCCCCCCCCCCCAAAGGCCCCCCCGAATTCGAATTTGAAGGGCTCCAGGTTTACTCGGTGGGCCCTTGGGACATCTAATACTTACCACTATTGGGTTTAGGTTTAGGGTTTAAGAGGATCATACTCAGGAATATATTCAGAGGATTTTAAGGGCCATCGTAGTTTAGGGTGTAGCAGTTTAGTGTTTGGGGGGTTGACTATTGGCGTGCCGGTCTGGGCTTTAGGAGCTTACTTGGAGGTTCATGGTTACTTTTAAGCAAGGTTCTAAATAGGGCAACATGAACCTTCAAGTAAGGTTTGAGGGTTCTGCTGTATCGCGGATGAGCCGCGATCCCTATAAGCCCTAAATGAACCCCACAACACCTGACACACCATAAGTCTCAACAGCCCTAAGCCCCCTAAGCCCTAAACACCCCCAAGCCCCCAAGCCCGACAACCCCTAAACCCTAAAGTCCCTGAAACCTAAACCCTAGAGCCCAAACCCACACCTCTGAACCCTAAACCCTAAACCCTTAAAAGCCCTTAAACACGCCAAGAGGCAAAGGCGGAGGGAACCCTACACCCCTAAGCCCTAAACCCTAAACCCCTAAAGCCTAAAGCCTACAGCCTAAAGAATACAGCCTAAAGCCTACAGGCTAAAGGCTAAAGCCTAAAGCCTAAAGCCTAAACCCCAAACCCTAAACCCTAAACCCTAAACCCCAAACCCTAAACCCTAAACCCCGAACCTAAACATCCCAAGAGGCCAAGGCGGAGGGAACCCTACACCCCTAAGCCCTACCCCCTAAACCC